CAATCACAGCAGATGTTCGTTGGCTCTTCCAGGACTTAAACTGATTTTTGATTTCGATTTCTGATCTTGATTCTGTCGATAAGACACATCCTAAGAGCAGGCACTTCATGGCAGCAATTTTCGAGCGGGCATACTTATTGCGGTTCGGGAAAATTTGGTTCTAAAATAGAACCTGTCGCAAATTGCTCAACATAGCGCGTACAACGCAAAAAAATAAATAAATTTTAGCCAGCCGTTGTAGAGCATCTCGCCGTCCACGCCAGGCACCTGGCCAATCCGGCACCAACCATGACCAAGCGTGGTAGGCGGATACCGACAGGCGGCACCAACGGCCGTCCGCCTAAAGCGATCAAGTGGGCGAACGCTTCGGCCGCGAGAAAAAGGCTATGAACAAGCTCTTGGATGATACGGAGAAGAGAGAGGCGGCCACCGCCGCTGCCGAAGCAGCTCTCGCGGCCAAGGAAGAAGAGGTGAAGGCCATGAAGGCGTCAGTGGCCAGGGATCGGGAGAAGCTCGCGCGGGACATCGCGAGATCGGACGCGCTTCAACAGCAGCGTGAACGGCGAGAGCAGGATCGTGTCAGCAAGGTTGCTGAAGCGGCGACTTCCAAGCTTCCCCCTCTTGCGCTGAAGTTTGTCGGACTCCGTGCAATCGCTGAGGCCCAAGACTGGCGAGCTCACCACCCTGCNATACCGACAGGCGGCACCAACGGCCGTCCGCCTAAAGCGATCAAGTGGGCGAACGCTTCGGCCGCGAGAAAAAGGCTATGAACAAGCTCTTGGATGATACGGAGAAGAGAGAGGCGGCCACCGCCGCTGCCGAAGCAGCTCTCGCGGCCAAGGAAGAAGAGGTGAAGGCCATGAAGGCGTCAGTGGCCAGGGATCGGGAGAAGCTCGCGCGGGACATCGCGAGATCGGACGCGCTTCAACAGCAGCGTGAACGGCGAGAGCAGGATCGTGTCAGCAAGGTTGCTGAAGCGGCGACTTCCAAGCTTCCCCCTCTTGCGCTGAAGTTTGTCGGACTCCGTGCAATCGCTGAGGCCCAAGACTGGCGAGCTCACCACCCTGCAGCAGTCGCGGATGATTTCATGCTGTACTTCGACCTGGTGAAAGGAGGCAGCTCTGAGAACCACGCAAAGGAGCAGGTGAGAACCAAGAAACATGGCTGTTGTGTGCAAAGTACCAGTAATAGACGCATGTTGTCACGCTTTGACAGCAGTACAGCAGTGCCACATACTTTTCTGGTACATTGTAGATATGTATGCATACATCCCACCCAAGATTATTGTACAAGCAGCACCATTGCTTAATACAGCCCTACGCAACATATTGTGCATCATGCCAGGACTGCTGCCGGCCCATGGTCACATTGCTTGCACTGCTGTACTGATGCCCATTACTGCTGTACAATACTTGGTATATATATAACGGTATGCTGCCAGATGGACAGCAGTGTACCAGGACAGCAATTACAGCAGCGCTTTGTACCGCTGAATGTAAAGGAATGTATGCATGTGCATGGCACCACCGTTCTCCTCGCGTGCGCTGTACGGTTATCCACACTCTGCCGTCCTTGAACACCGGCTTTCGCACACCAACGCAATACACTGCAACGCAATACACTGCTGTATTCTTACAAACTTTTTCTCACCCTGCCTCTGTGTGGATGACCCATCTTTGTCTGGTCGCGCGAAGACCTTGAGAATCGGTACGGACAAGGTCCTGGCGATTGGCACACTCTGGTATGACAAGCAGGAGTTGTACGAGAACACCGGGAAGGGGCGAGGCAAGGCCACACCAGCGTCGACGACGGGCAACGTGTCATCACCAAGGAGCAAGAGGATGGACTGCACAAGTTCATCAAGGNACAGTATTCTTACAAACTTTTTCCCACCCTCCCTCTGTGTGGATGACCCATCTTTGTCAGGTCGCGGAGACCTTGAGAATCGGTACGGACAAGGTCCTGGCGATTGGCACACTCTGGTATGACAAGCAGGAGTTGTACGAGAACACCGGGAAGGGGCGAGGCAAGGCCACACCAGCGTCGACGACGGGCAACGTGTCATCACCAAGGAGCAAGAGGATGGACTGCACAAGTTCATCAAGGGCGAGCACGAGGCGGGACGTCAGGTCTTCCGCCGTACCGTCAAGGATTACTTGGAGTGTTCGTACGGGTTAGAGATGTCAAATCGTGCCGTGGGAAGGTTGCTGCAGCGCCTTGGCTTCAAGCGCCGTAGGGGTAGGATCAAAATACCTCCGTTGAACGAAGAGAGGAAAAACCGCATCCCCCTGTTTCTTGTTAAGATGGACCTCGCGAAGAGGGCCGAGGGCGCTGGGGTCGCAGTCATTGTGTACATGGATGAGAGCTTTTTTCACCAGGCGCATGGTTCCGCGAACTCGTACTTTCTTTCTGACGATAAGGGGGTTGTGCAGGATGGGCGTACAGTACATCGGGGAAAGGTTTGCGCATGATCATGGTTCATGCGATCGCGAAGCACGGGCCCTTGGCCGAGCTACAGGAGGGATTTCCTATCCGTGAGGGTTGGTTCAAGGCTAAGGAAAATCGTGTGAAGAAAATTAAGCCTGGGGAGGCGGATTTCGAAATGTCAGATAAGCAGACAGCAGAATTCCATGGCAGGCCAAGTTGGCAACTGGAGATTATCATAACGCCATGACGGATGGGATGTTCATGCAGTGGTTGAAGCACCGACTTACCCCGGCCTTCGATGCGCAGTTCAAGTACAAGAAGATGTTTCTCGTTCTCGATAACGCCTCATACCACCACTGCTTTGACGAGGAGCTCAAGGTGCCCGAAACCAACAATAAGAAGTACAACGTCGAACTCTTGCGAAGTACGGTTGCACGTCGTTCAAGGTGATGCGGGAGTCGGAGGGTAAGGCTGCTGAGTACAACTTTGAGGTGGCGGCGCACAGGTCATTACCCAATGCGAATCGCAAGAACGGCGTCAGCAAAGAAGGGATAGCCTCCGTCACTCGGACGCACTTCAACAAGAAATATCCACAGAAGCTCGAGGAAAAGGCTGAGACCTGCATGAGGGAGAAGGGGTGGGGGTTAAGTTGAACACCGCCGTACATGCCGACTTTCCAGCCGATCGAGCTGTTCTGGCAGCACGGCAAGCAATACGTGAGCATTCATTTTGAGAAGGGGCGGAACATGTTGGATGTCTGGAAGCAATCCGTCTCGGTTGGTATGGCGACCCGGAATGGGACGGTCAGGAGGGGGGGTGGAAGGCAGCCAATTGTGGAAAATTGGTGGAACATGCCATTGGCAAGATGAACGAGTGGATCGGCCTGTATGGTGGAAACCTGAGCGGTACGATCGGTAGCCTCGAGTATCCAGTAGCAGAGTACCGAGAGGCTACGACCGAGGATGAGATAGAGGATGGGGTGGAGGAGCAGACGGATTAGTGGCTGGGTGTGGACGCGGAAGATGCCATTGAGGGCTGAAAAAAAATGCAAAAAAAAAAAATACCCTTTTTTGGGCCAATATTTTTCGAGTTTGATTCGCGAACAGCGACACGAAGGGGGCTGCACAGAAGGTTCCATCCTGAGTGCAAGCTGACATATTGTTTGATATTTCGTAATTTAGATGGCTGTATCACCCCGTTCAAACAATACATGAATCACTGGTGCAAGCCCTGGGGCCGCATCGATTGAACCCCGCGCTTCAATATTTTTGGAAGATCGCCGGGTACGATCACA